TATTCTCACATGTGAGTTTTGCTACTGTCTTTGGTGGCAAAGCTCCAGTAAGGCTGGACCTCCAGGAGCTCTGCCCTTTGCTCATGTGACCCCTAGGAGAATGGGGCTCTGGGAAACTCCACTATCCTTGTCTGGCCTGAGGCAGAAGGGTCATGAGCTGGAGAACCAAAGCTCAAGAAACACCAGCAATTCTAAGATCAGCCCCAGGCTCTACTGAACAGGATCTCTGAGAATTCTTATTGAGGTACTCCCCTCCACTTTAACAAGAAACAGAACTCAACAACAAGGACTCTGGCAACTGGAAAAATCACATCGCACAGTAGCCTTGAAAAGAGACTCTGGTCTCAATGAGACCTCAAGCTTCAGATCAAATGTCAGGCTAAAGAAACCCAACTCCAAGGTCCTATTCTGGATGGCAATCTATTCCAGGACAAATTACACCAGTGACACAAGTTTCCAATAACAAAGGTTACAACTTATTCCACAGTCATAAGAACCCACCTCATCTAAGGTCAATTGCCTTGAGCCAAATGACCTAAAGAGAAAGGATGACCCTAAGCAGTCACACAGAATGGAGGGCAGTCAATCAAGTAGAACAAACATTGCCAGGACACATTTAATCAAAACATGAAACGACAGCATCAATGGCTTCCAAGTCCCAGATGCAGGCAGAGGCCAACCTAGGGCCTGAGCATCATGGTGCCTTGGAAGCCAACATAAGGCATCTATTCATATGAAGCTTGTCTTCTCAGTAGGGAATGAAGAAAAGACTGGCTCACCCTCAACCAAATAGGAAAATGGTTTCTTTTATAAGTTAAAGAATCATCACAGGCTTCAGGAGGGGAAAGGAGGGGGAAAATGAAAAAGCAGTTGTACTGAAGAGCAGACAAGAAAGGAAAAAGGAAAGGAAGTTTTCCCAAGAAGAATTAATTAAGCAGAAACAGAGAAGCATTGGGCTGCCCCTATATTACTGAGCACATCTAAGTAAATGAAATTGAGCAAATGAGGCAAACAATGAAAATAAAAAACTTTATTTTACTGCACCAATCATTAACAAAACACTATTAGGGAAAGAAAACTCGAGCGACTGTAGCCAAGCACCCTAGGTTCAATTTATAAGGGCAAAAGGCCTCTTGAAAACTGAAATACAAAAAGCTGAAAAGCTCCCTCTATCAGCAGTCCCCAGGAGCTTTATGTGGGTGTGGACCTAGGTTCTAGTAACCCCTCTGATGCTTACTACCTATGTCACTTTGAACAAGTCACTAAATCTTCCAGAGTCTCAGTTTCCTTATCTGTAAAATAAGGAGAATGGATTATGGTTGCTGTTATTAGCCTCTGAAGTCCCTTCCAGCTGCAGATCCAGGAGCCTCTACTGACCAGCAGTCCAGAAACCAGGAAATAAACTTTAATTGCTTACATACTCCAATTGGGCTAGCCATTATTTAAAAAGACATCATGACTCCAGGACAAGGTAAACATGCTCCATCTTGATATGGTCGCAGAGAGAAATATCAAAAAGCAATATTATATCACTCAGATGGGCAAATGAAAGTGGCAAATTGGGGAAATTATTCCAATGATCAGGGCAGCCAGGTGGCACTGTGGATAGAGCCCCCAGGCCTGGAGTCTGGGGGACCTAAATTCAAAGCAGACCTCAGACATTTACTGGCTGTGTGACTCTGGGCAAGTCACCTCACCTTGCTTGCCTCAGTTTCCTCATCTGTAAAATGAGCTGGAGAAGGAAATGGCAAACCACTCCAGTATCTTTGCCAAGAAGACCCCAAATGGGGGTCATGAAGAGTCGTACACTACTGAACTACAACAACAACATTCCAATGATCAAGGTCCAAAGCCATGTTGAGGAGGAAATTAGGGATTTGGGGCAAGGATTATCCTCAATGTGATAGTTATAAGTCAGCAACTTCTTTGTGCCCTTCGGGGTCCACAGAATGAGTGTTCAGTATAAGGTATAAGCAGAGGGAAAAGGAAGCAAGTGATTGCTTTCTTCTACTATGCACTTTGACAATTAATAATAATAGCAACTAACATTTATATAACACTTACTACCTACCAGGCACTGTACAAAGAGCTTTTACAAATATTATCTCATTTGATCCTCACAACAACCCTGGGAGGGTGAGGTAAGTGCTATTATCCCCATTTTATATTTAAGGAAACTGAGGCAGACAGGAGTAAAGTACCTTGCCCTGCATCACATAGCTAGGAAGTGTCTGAGGCTGAATTTGAACTCATGTTTTCCTGACTCCAGGACTATCCTTCTGTGCACTCTGGTGCCACCTAGCTGCCATAATTACATACTATCCTTGAACATTCATTAGTTATTTCACATTTAGTTGAAGTCACCATATACAAAAAATGTTAAAGAAGGGACTTCTTTAACACTCTTTGGTTTCTTTTAAAACTCCAGTCAGGCACTACCTTCTCCATGAAGCCTTTCTTTCCTAAGCCTCCCAACAGACAGTGCCCTCCCTCATTAAACTACTTGGTATTTATTTTGTTTGTGTACTGTATATGCATATATCTGTGTATATTGTTTTCCCCCAGTAGAATGTAAGCTTCTTGAAGGCAAGGGGCTGTTGTATTTTTGTCTGGGTCCACATTTTTACAGGTGAAGAAATTTATGCTCCAAGTGAATAAACCGACATTGCCAAGGTCACATAAGCTAGGATTCTAAGTCTGGTGGGCCCACCCCATAATCAGCGTTCTTTCTACTACATCACACTACCGATAGCGGATGAAAGGCAATCTTCGATTTTGTCTATTCGAAAACTACATGAAACACTGTGACTCCTCTACCCAACCAAGCAGCAGTCTAAGAGAACATCCGAAGAACATCCGTATTTTGTAAATGAACCAACTACAAATAAAGTAATTCAACCAAAAAGTATCTCTGAAGCAGAAGATAATTTGGCTCAGCTCTTCCTTCCCCCTTCAAACCTATTCCATTTTCCCATCATTCCTAACCATTCCACTTCTCTGCCAGGTCAGTCTCTGATCTAATCCAGGACCTGCCTGAATCCTTACACTTCAATAGGTACACGATCTCTTCAACCTAGGTGGGCTCCAATGGGACAGACTGCGGCCCACCATGATTTTTCTTCTTGGGTGATTCCCACCCATGTCTTCCTCTAAATCTTCCAAAGGAGATTCACCCAATTCAATTTAACAAACACCAACTTTGCTAAAAGTCCTCCTCCAAGTCTTTTATTAACTGCTTACCAGTGCAGCATGGGGATTATCTGGACTTCTGCTCTCATGCTAATCCTGGACCTTGACAGATATATGTTAACTGAGGCAAATGTGTAGATACACTCAAGTGTGGCAGGAGATTCTGAGGCAAGAAAGGCTCCATACTCAGTCCCTCTTTAGGGGTGGGACACCCACCTTCATCAGTCATTCATTCAAAAGGCACTTATTAAGGACTTATTACCATGTGCCAGGCATTGGGGACCCAGACAAAAATACAACAGCCCCTTGCCTTCAAGAAGCTTACATTCTACCGGGGGAAAACAATATACACAGATATATGCATATACAGTACACAAACAAAATAAATACCAAGTAGTTTAATGAGGGAGGGCACTGTCTGTTGGGAGGCTTAGGAAAGAAAGGCTTCATGGAGAAGGTAGTGCCTGACTGGAGTTTTAAAAGAAACCAAAGAGTGCAAGAGGCAGAGATGAGGATGGAGTACATTCCAGGCAGAGGGGACAGGCAGGCAGTGTAAGGCTTTGGAGATGGGAGATGGAGTAAGGCCAGTTTGGCTGGACAATAGTATGCAAGAAGGGGAGTAATGGATAATGAGGCTGGTAAAATAGGCTGAGGCCAGGCTTTAATGAGAGGCTATAAATGCTAGAGGAGTTTATATCCTATCCTAGAGGCAATAAGCAAAGATTGGAATTTCTCAAGTAAGGGAGTAAAGGGGTCACATGTGCATTGTAGGAAAAAACACCTGGGCAACTGAGTGGGGGGGTGGACTGCAATGGGGAGACTTCAGATGGAGAGAGCAGCATGAGGCTATGGCAATAGTATAAGTGACAGGAGTTTGAGCCTGACCCTGAGGGGTGGCCATGTGAGCAGTGACAAAGAACTGTATGGGAGAAATGGTGTGGAGATAGAAAGGAGAACATTTGGCAACTCTAATAAGAACAGAGACTTGTAGGATGCCAAGTCCCAAAGAAGAGAGAATGGGGCCCAACAAGCCAATTTTTCTCACTTTCTAAATGAGAGTGCTCTAACTATATTTAAAAAAAGACTATCCAAAAACCATCTCCAGGAAGCAATACAATCTCATTCCAGATTGAAATTAGAGGTTTGAGTCACTTTTTCATCTTCATTCCCCATTGGAGTAGGGAATTTCTAGTTTGGGAATTCCCCCTCCCAATGTAGATAAGCAATTTGCCTGTTTTATAGCCTTGGAGAATTGTCTGTAGCACAGAGAGGTTAAGTGATTTGCCCAAGAGTCACACAGCTAGCATCTCAGGAAGGATTAGAACTCAAGTCTATTATGACTCCAAGGCTAATCCACTAGCCACTCCATCATGCTGCCTCTCTTCTTAAGAGACTGTATACAGCAAGATGGGAGAAAATCCTCCTTCCCCTCCTTTACATTCAGTTAATTCTCCTGAGATTAGTGAATCTCAATTAGTGAATCACAGACAAGTAGAGGACATAAGGACCATGAGCTTTGACAACACTCAACTTTCCTGAAATCCAGGCAAATCTTGAACGAAAATGTATTTAAGTCATTGTGGGGACACTTCGGTAGAAGATCTTAACATCAGAGGCTAATGCAGATAAAGGTGCTGCCTATTCTGTTCTCACACTTTGCCAATGCGTGCACACATACACACATGCATGCACATACACAGGCACCTGCGCGCGCACGTGCACACACACACACACACACACACGCACCCACACGGCTAGCATTTAACCAGCCAAAAGATGAAGCCATCTAGCTGCCCAGCCCAAGTACTCACCTTGGAACACTGCAGCATTCTGAATAATCACAAACTTGAGCTCCACACTTGCAGACTGAAGAAGCTGCTCCAGGTTCAAGCGCGCCAACATTTGGTACTTCTCTTCCATCTTTCGTGAACAACATGTTGGACCCTTGGAAACACAAACTTGCAGATCGGAACCTGAAAAAAACAAGTTTTCACTGGGTTTCAGTATGCCAGCGGGCCACACAAGAGAAGCCGAACAGCACGCCCCACTGACGCCCTTTTTGTAATGTAAGAAAGTGCCACCTCTTCCAGGAAGCTCTCCTGTATCACATAAGTGGTAATAACTTTCCCCATTGGACTTGACTAGCACTTTGTTATGTATCTCTCTTATATACTTACCATGAAATATTGTATATTGTTTTATATTTATGTATTATTCCTCCCATGAGTGGAGGGACTCTTATTATTGGAGGAAGCCAGGTGGTACAGTAGATAGAGCACTGGGCCTGAAGTCAGGAAGAAGTGAGTTCAAATCCAGACTCAGATATTTACTGGCTGTGTAACTGTGAGCAGGTCACTTAACCCTTTGTCTATCTCAGTTTCCTTAACTTTCAAATGGGGTTAATAATAGCACCTATTTCCCAGGGTTGTTGAGAGGGTAAAATGAGATAATATTTGTAAAGTTCTTAGCATAGTACCCGGAACATAAAAAGACCTTAATGAATTGTTTCCTTCCTCCCATCCTTATCTAAACTTTGCATCTCCCCAGTGCCCAATATATTGCTTTGCAGACAGAAGGTGCTTAATAAATATTTCTTCAATTGTCAAATTCATTAGTATCTATTCCCTAGGTCTTGATGTTTCTCATTTATCTTTATTACTCATTCATTTTAAGTAACTAACATTAAACTAATTGCCTTTTACATGCCATAAACTCATATTTCTAGTACTAAAGTATATCAAGAAACAGTAATATCTAAATTTGTATGAGTTAAAAGATGAAGTTTCATCCTTAGACCTCATAGTTTTTCTGGTGCAAATGTTGAACACTGAAAATCTCAAGCTCTTGTCTTTTGCTGCTCCTTTTCTATGGCTCACAGTGCCAGGCATAGAGCTAGCAACAAGGGAGATGCTCTATAAATACTTGTTGATTAATGCGCCTTGAAGAATTGGGTCACCTCACAACTGTAAAACATGATGATTTCTTTCTTTATCCCACAGGCAGAAGTGTACGTTCAGCTCTACTGTTAAGTTTATCGATTAGAAAGAAGGCGGATGCTGTCAATGGTGAATTAGTGTAAAACCTCAATTACTAGAATGCTTAGATAACCAGAGATCTTCATTTGCTATACAACACCCTCAGACCAATGGCACAAACCACAAGGAAACAAACCAACATCAGCAATTTTGCCCCTCTTGCCTAGACCCCTCCCCAAAAGGTCATGAGATCAAAGGTGTGAAAGGGACCTTAGAAACTATCTAAGCCAACTGCTCAAGCAGGAAGCACGACAAGGTGGCTATGGTGCCTCTATGCCTCCTGGAGTCAGGAGGACCCAAGCTCAAATTTTCCTCATTTACTATGTAACCTTGGGCAAGCCACTTAATTTTTGAGCCTCAATTTCCCCATCTGCAAATTGAAGGGGTTGGACTAAATGGCCTCTAAATGCAGGTCTAAATCTGTGATTTTCTGACTCTATTGCTGAGTTCTCTAGCTCATTTTATAGACGGAGACGCTGAAGCCGAGGAAGGTTTAGTGATACTCTCTCTGAACTTCAATTTTCTCCTTTGTAAAATGAGGCTAATAACAAGTACCCATCATACTATAAAAATAAGAGCTATCATTATTATTATCATTATTACCATTGTTACTTGAGCTGTTTGTGGGGCTCAGGCGAGATAGTGTATAAAGAGCAATTTATCAGCTTTAAACCACTCTTTAGCCATTATTATTATTATTATTATTATTATTATTATTATTATTATTATTATTATTTCCCCAAGGGCAGCAAGGTGGTAAATAATAGAGCTCAGTCCTTCTGATTCTAACTCTGGCACCCTTTCCATTTTACTTCCCTCCTGACTTTAGGAGATGCACTGAAAGCATTGAACATTCCACACGATTTTCTACACTTTTTTGCATCTTCAGACCTGCACACTGAAAATGTGTGTGCAAAATGATGACTTCAAGGCTCTGCAAAATCTTGTCAGCACATTTAAATTCAATTATGGTCATTGCATCATATTTAAGGCAAGAAAGACACAAACACTTTAGAAAGACACCTTAAACCCTCACTTCCCAAAACATCCTTTTAGCAAAGCATCCCATCTCCAGGCACAGAGGCAATACATTAGAGTGAAAAGAGCCCTTGGCTTGGTGCCAGAAAACCTGGACGACACAGATAAATGAAGTGTGGGTGACAAGTAAAGTGAACTAGACATTGTAATGTAAAGAAGCAAATTTGACCTCAAATATCTATCACCAATAGGGCATCTGGGTGGCACTGCAGTGGATAGAGGGCTGGTCCTGGAGTCAGGGAGACCCGAGTTCAAATATGACCTCTGACACTTACTAGCTGTGTGACCCTAGGCAAGTCACTTAACCCTGTATGCCTCAGTTTCCTCACCTGAAAAATGAGCCACAGAAGGAAATGGCAAACCACTCCAGTATCTTTGCCAAGAAACCTCAATTGAGGTCATGAAGTTGGACACGACTGAACAACATCTATCACTGAGGCTCAATGGGATAGGACTCATGCTAAACTATGAGTACTGAAGGGTATCCCCTTATTTAAAAGGAATAGGTAGTAGGAAGCATTAGCGTGGCATATTAAAAAGATATATTGGTGAGAAAATTCAGGAACCACTGGCAGGAACTTGATAAAGGAAAAAGAGTTGAGTAAGCACCAATGGAGACCAAAATAAAGGCAATACTGTCATAGAAATATACTACAGACCACCTAAGCAAACAGAAGCTATACATGAGAAGTTCAAGAAACAGATCACAAGCCTGGAAGAGAAACATGACATTATAGCGATGAAAAATATCAACTATCAAAATAATTGATGCAATTCTTTACTAACAGTACAGGAGCTAATAATTTCTTGGTTTGCCTTAGCTATTTCACCTTCTAAGAGACTGAAGGAATAACAATGGTAACTTCTATTCTGAACATGATTCTCACCAACAAGGAAGATCCAATTATTGAAGTAGAAATTATGGGAATTGTGAGGGATAGGGGAAGGGAAGAGAACTGACTACTCTATCTTAGAATTTACAAGAGAGAATATAAGCTCCTTAAGGGTAAGGACTATTTCATTTGTGGTTTGTCTTGGGGCAGCTAGGTGGTGCAGTGGATAGAGCACCGGCCCTGGAGTCAGGAGGACTTGAGTTCAAATACTGCCTCAGACACTTGACACTTGCTAGCTGTGTGACCGTGGGCAAGTCACTTAACCCCATTACCTAGCTCTCCCCCCCAAAAAAAATTAACCTTGGATCTTGGAAAGATGGTAGTGCCCTAAATAGATATAAGGGAGCCATATCCTAGACATTAGACATGAATACTATCCTCCCATATATATGTGTGTGTCTGCATGTGCGTATGTGTGTATGTATGTATGTCAAGGGGCATGAAAGGAAAATCAAGTATTGGATAGGGTAGGCATGGCTTCAACTGAGTTTCTACTAGCACAAGATGACAGAAACAGTGTTAAAATGAAGAGATCCTCCTTGGATCTCTAGGAGAGCTAGGATAAAGGAGAATTGGTTAATAGAGTTGAGACTCCAGAGGGCACAATGAAATAGGAAGGCAGACAAGGATGCAAACCAGAGACAGGACAGGAATAAGGTAGATAGGGATGGGAGTAAAGAGAGAGAAAGAAAGAAAGACTTCCTAACAATTACAGCTACCTTAAAATATAATAGACAAATTTGCAGGGGCAGTAGTCCTGTCCCTCACAGGAGGTCTTTAAACAAAGTCTGAATGGTCACTTTTTGGAGCTATTATAGAAGGACTCACTCCTCATTCGAGTACAGGTTGGCCTACATGGCCTCTGAGGACTCTCCCAAAACTGAAACGCCATGGTCCAGCTCCAGCCTCCTGCTCCTTCTTACTGTGTGACCACAGCCAAATCAATCTCTCTGGGCTTCAATTTCTGCTTCCACAAAACGGGGACAACTCATCTGATGTTATGAAAAATACATTAAAGGGAGGCCATGACTTCTTCAAGATTAATGGAATAAAGGGGTACTCCTTCCTGATAACTGGTGTTTGGGGATACTTTTTAATGACTTTGTGAAATAACGTTTGCTAGGCAATATTGGGCAGCTCATGTGTATACCTGCTCTACCAAGGGCATTAAAGCAGGTCCTACGTTTAAGTATGAGCAATTGTTTTAGTTATCTTCGCTCGAAATGGATTTTGACAGGTTTTACTTTTTAAAGTCAGAAATCAAATTCCTCCTGCTTTGGCTCAGATGACAACAGTCCTCAATCAGGGGTACTGACTCAAAGGGCTATCCTATTTATTCAGCTACCCTGGAGGAAACTGCTGCCAAGAAGAGGAGAGGGGCTAGTTGTCACTAAATCTAACCGAGTACCGTGTAAGAGGGTGAAGCCAAAATACCATTTGGGGTTTAGAGACAGTAACATTTATAGGAAATCAAATTTAAACTCTCTTCTACACAAGCTTCAAGCTTATTTTAAATGTGCTCTAAACACAAAAGCTTTAAGATTCTCTACAGGGAAAGAAAACCATAGCCAGTTCGAGGTCGTTAGGCTCTTACTACATCAACTTGCAAAATCCGATGACATTCCAAGAAGAGGTCCTGATGAAAGGGAATGGAGTTTACTGGGTCAAAAAGGAAAAAGGCTGAAGCTGGAGTCAGAGGACCAGGATTCAAATGCTGACTCTGCCACTTAATAGCTACCAATGTGACCTTGAGCAAGTCACTTTACCTCCACGAGCCTCAGTTTGCTCATTTGGAAAATGAAAAATGAGGGACTAGGTAGATGACCTCAGAAATCCCTTCTAGTTCTAAGCCTATGATCCTAACTAGATTTAAAAATAAGGTTGGTTGGGCACACAGGGATATAGACACGGACCTACACACAATTTTCTACCAGTTCCTAACAGATACTCTCACATCTTGCTATCCAACTGACAAATACGCTAAGCTTTGGGAAAGGTGTGTAAGTC